TATTACAAAAACACAAAATAAGTAAAAATAAGTATTTATATGTGTGTACAAGCTGTTTAGATCTCAAAAACCTGTGTTTTTAGGGTTATTAACAGAGTTTATGTACTCAGACCAGTAATATTTGGGGTCACAAGTTTTTGCCATGGATATTTTGTGGGTCAGAAGATAAAAAAGTTTGGGAACCGCTGCTTTATACAACACTGGTAAATTGTTTAATAAAAAAATAATCACGTTGCAGTCTGTCTGAGCTGGCTCATCAGAGGTGCACTGCGCCCCCTGTGGCAGATGTGGAGAACTACAGAAAGTGGAGCTCAGCGAGTTTCACTTTCTGTTCTGGTAAAACGTAAAAACAGTCCTGCCATGGATGATAAAGAAGCAACTCAAACCTGCATGAAATGGTAAGATTTGACAGCTTTTATTTAAAAAAAAAAAAAAAAGGACAAAAAACTATTTTTAAGGTTAAAAGTGTAAGTTTTGTGTCTAAATTAACACGTTGTTGGACGTAAACACTGAAGTTTGAGTCACGCTTTAAGCCTAAACATGTATAAATGGCAACATTCAGATCTTTGCATGGGGCTTTTTTTAAAGTCTGTAATCAAAATCACAAGAGTTAGTGGTGGTGTTAACTTACAGGTGCAAAGAGAGGAACTTTCTTTAACATGTAAATTTAGTTAAGCATTAACAGGTGCACTCAAATCGTTTTGTTTCTGTGAGGTGTTCAAGGACCACAGGAAGTTACAGTGTTGGCACGTTAGGGTGTGTTTCAGTCTAAATCAATAAAACGTGCAGTTAAACACAACTTCAGGCATATGAACATTATGTCATGGATAATTAAAAATAATTATATTGTGTGTGTTTTAAGAATCTGTCAATTTAGTTGAACAATTTAATTTCATTTTCAGTTTCACTTTTAAATCCATACAAATGTAATTTATCTCTCTTTTTACTCGTTTTGTAAAGTATATTACATCTCAAATACTTTGATTTTTTTTTTACTTAACATTGCTAGTTCTGTATTTGTTTTCAGAAAATATTGGATAAAGTAATGCAAAATAGCTTATGAAAAGAAGCAAAACAAACTAAAAGGAGCAAAACTCCAGCTATAAGATCAAAACTACAGCAACATGTTGCCTACAGACCAAAGAAGCAAAACACAAAGAATCTTTTTGTAAATTAATTTAAATCATTTAAAAATTGTAAAGTTACAAATACAAAAAGTGCCAGCTCATTATTCCTGATGGAAACAAACATTTTGATGTGAATGGACAGAAAATGTTTAGTGTGTGGAACTACACTCACCGGTCACTTTATTAGGTACACCACGCTAGTAACGGGTTGGACCCCCTTTTGCCTTCAGAACTGC